CTTGGTGGAGCACCTGTTGGGGATCCTACCCTGCCTGGGGAGTGGTGGGTGGGTGGGGTGGGGGGTAGGTTGGAGGTGGGGGAGAAGGAATGGGGGTAAGGGGAGAGAGAGGGAGAGGGAGAGGGGAATTACATGTGAAACAAGCCTGTTCCCTAACTTGAATAATAATAAAAAGAGAGAAAAAAAATGGGGGTTCAGAACTAATTAGAGAATTCTCAATAGAGGAATCTAAAATGGCTTGAAAGACACTTAAGAAAGGGCTCAACATACTTAGCCATCAGGGAAATGCAAATCAAAACAACTGAAAAACCATCTTACACCTAGCAGTATGGTTAAAATCAAAAACACAATGATACTCTGTGCTGGAGAGGATGTGGAAAAAGAAGAACACTCCTCCATTGCTGGTGGGAGTGCAAACTTGTGCAGCCACGTTGGATATCAATATGGTGGTTTCTCAGGAAAATGGAAATCAGTCCAACTCATGATCCAGCAATCCCACTCTTGGGCATATACCCAAATGGTGCATATTCATAAAACAAGGACATATGTACAACTATGTTCATAGCACCATTGTTTGTAATAGCCAGAACATGAAAGCAACCTAGATAGCTCTCAACTGAAGAATGGATGGGAGAAAATGTGGTACATTTACACAATGAAATACTCTCAGCAGAAAAAACAATGGAACAATGGAATCTTGAGCAAGGTAATCCAGTCACAAAAAGACAAACATGGTATGTACTCACTCATATATGAATTTTAGACATAGAGCAAAGGTCTACCAGCCTACAATCCATACAATCAGAGGAACTAGGAAACAAGAAGGACCCTAAGAAAAAAATACATGGTCCCTGGAAGAAGGAGAAAGGGACAAGAACTCCTGAGCAAATTGGGAGCACTAGGGAGGGGGATGAAGGGTTAAAAAATTAGAAAGGGAGAACAGGACAAGGGGAGGAAAACAAGAGGGATCAGGAAGACTGGGACCGAGGAACAGAGGAGAGCAAGAAAAGAGATACCTTAATAGAGGGAGCCAGTATAAGTTTAAAGAGAAATCTGGCACTAGGGAAATGTTCAGAAATCAACAGGATGACCCCAACTAAGAATCTAGGCAGTAGTGGAGAGGCTGCTTTTGAAGCCCTTCCCCTATAATGAGATGGATGACTACCTTAAATGCCAACCATAGAGCCTTCATTCAGTAGCTGATGGAAGCAGAAGCAGGCACTCACAGCTAAACACTGAGCCATAATCCTGGAATCCAGTTGTAGAGGGAAGAGGGATGAACAAAGCAGTTAAGACTGTGCTGGAGAAACCTACAGAACCAGCTGACCTGACCTAGTGAGAGCACATGGACCTCAGTTGTAAAGCTGGAGAACCAGCATTGTACTGAACTAAACCCTCTGAATATAGGTGCCAGTTAGGAGGCCTGGGCAGTCTATGGGACCTCTAACAGTGGAACCAGTATTTACCCCTAGTACACAAATGGACTTCAAGAGCCCATTCCCTATGGAGGGATAATATTTCAGCCCAGATACACGAAGAAGGGCCTAGGCCCTCCCCCAAAATAATGTGACAGACTTTGATGATGCCCCATGGCCTCACAGTCCTTGGGAAGTGGGTGGGGGTGGGTTAGGGGTGGATTGGTGGGGGGCATGGGAGGATGGGAGGGAAAGGGAACAGGAGGGGGGGTTGATACGTAAAATGATTGTTTCTAAAGAAAAAAAGAAAAAATCCCCCGATTACTTAAACAGAAATATTAGAAAAGTAAAGTGAATTAAATCACTACTTTTACACTGCAAACTCAAATATTCTTTTAATATGAAAGAATCTCTTTTTTCTCATGACATTACTAGAAAAGATGAACTCTGAGGTTATATTCTATATTCTAAGGAGAAATTTGTGTCACATACAAAAATTAAGAGAACCAATCATTCCTTCATTCATTAGTATATCTGAAACGCATTTTGTGTGTGACACATTTCTAGGCACTGGGAACA